AAACCATCCCAACTTTTTCTGATTTGGGTTTTTACTTGGTTATAGTATTTTTTTAAAGCAAAATTGGAAATTAACTGTTCAAAATCCAATATCCAGCTATGAAACACAAAAGAAGCAAACATTGCCAGCAAGGCAAATGTGCTTCCTGTTTTAATGATATCAGCAACCTGGAAGCCTGAATGTGTTCATATGATGGATATTTTGTTCTGCAATTAATCATAGATTATGAAAAGCAGGTGTAAATTAGAAAAACATATTGTTTCACTCATATAGTTTACAATTTTAGTCCAAGCAGTAATTCCAAATTGAATTGTCCTATGCAATACAAGGTGGGAGCAAGGTGTTTATGCTGGCCAACCTCTGTTAAAAGGAGAATTTAATGGATAGCTGATTCAGATTCACATACCACCCAGAGGTCAGGTATTCAGTGTAGCTTCATCAGCAAAAATGCCCTTCAGTGTTCTTTAACAAAAGAGAGAATAAATTACACTATTTCAAGAATAAACACATCATTTTCACTCTAGGCTGATATGCTATGGTTGAATAGCTGCCAAAAGAAAGGGATTAGAGGAAAAGAATGAGAAAAATGGGCTGCTGATAGAAAATCAGGAACCAGTGAGTTGCTCATATTCTGCTGTGCTGCTGTTTTCTCAGCTGTTGGCACATTGCAATTTACCTTTTTCTCTTTCTATTTTCTGCCTGTCATTGTTTTGTCTTTCAGTCCCTGTTAGCATTGCTGCAATTATCCAAGCCCTTTCTTGCTAGCCTCATTATCCCAATTCAGTCAGTTATGACAGACAGACGGGGGAGATTGATAGACATCTGCACGCAAACAAGAGAACAAACTGAGCTCCAGCAATGTGTAATGAAAAGGGACTATACATAATATGTTATTACTGGATTTCTTTAGTGAATATGTGAGGAACAAAAGGAGACTGTGACAAAAGTATTATGTGCAAATGTGACTCTGAAGCTGTTCTAAATGTGAGAATATGCAGGAGGATAATGGGAGTTTGCATAAAAACCTGAAAACTTGAGGCTTGTCCACTATGTAGTAGTTGAACCGTGGCCGAAAACGCAGAGGCCTTAAAATGTTAGTTAAAAAGTTTGTCCCTCCTTATCCTCCTCTTAAATCTCTCCTACCTCTGACACTCCCTGTGTTCACTGTTAATCTTTCCTCATTTCCACACCACAGAGAGCTGCTGTGGAAAGCTTGCTTTTCCCTGTCATCTCTGAAATATGATTGGTTCACACTGAATAGGTCTCTTTAACTATAAGCATTCTCCAGTATCTTTAAGAATGGAAGCGGGCGTTGCATTGCTAATGGACACGAAATGACGGGCACCACACTTCAGGCAGAGTGCACACTTGTAATCCCATCATGCTGTTCTATAATGTGTTATGGGGCTTCAAACCGCAGATGGCGGCAAGCTTCTGAAATGCTCGAATGCAGGCAACATTTTCATTTACATTGCCCGTTATGGGTTGAGTGGAATGTTCAGGAATGAAGGAGTATTTACTCAGCTACTGTATTTATGTACAGTCGTGAGAATCTTGTACTTGAGTATTTAAATTTTTTGCTACTTTATAGCTTTACAGCATTTCAGAGGTAAACATTGTGCCTGTCAAGTTACAGCTACTTTCGCCATTAGTGCAGATTAACATTTTATTTAAGGCATACAGTAAGATGAGATCTTAAATATGATACATTGTTATAGATCCAACTGCTCAAAACAGTACAAAACTAAAAACTGCATGTGATTTTAATAAATCTGTCATACTGTCTTATTTAATTTATTAATAAATAAATTATGCTGCACAATGAGTACTTTTGATACTTAAGGTACAATTTGCTCATAATGCTTACTAATATTTGTATTTTTGCTTAAAGTTTTAAATACTGTGCTTAAAGTACTTGAAATTAAGCATCGTCACACTGTGGTATTGCTACTTTCACTTAAGTAAAATATCTAAATGCTTCGTCTACCTACTTTAAGTAATCCAAATATCATCATTTGGTGATAAGCAACCTGAGTACCTTTTGTCATTTTCCACTGCTGTCTGATGTGGATTAGCAGCTGCCAGTGCAGCTCCTGAAAGTGTTGCCTTGCAACACTGTCAAATGACACTGTAGATAAGCAGTGGAGTCAAAAAGACTCGAATGTAAAACTAGCATAGTGAGGTGAAATTCACTGGGGGTACAAATTGCATTACAGTCTCCATTAGCCTTTGGCCTCATCTGTCACAGAAATAAGAGCTAAGTAAGAGCTAGCAGACCACTCACAGGTCAGATATCCAATAGCAGGTCTGTTGGCACAGTAACGGAGAGGAACTCGGCTCTTGCTGTAATCAAAGTAGACTTTTGGGAAGTGGTATTAGTGTATGTATCAGAAGACAGAAAGGGAGACAAAGCAGCTATACAGTAGATCTCTCTCTCTCTCACTCACACACACACACACACACACACACACACACAACCTCCATACAGCAGATAAAACTCTCACTTCCTGTTTTCTTCCTCTCTCCCTCCATCCATCGACCATCTGTTGTTGTTGCTCATGTTTCTGCTGTAAGGTAGAGTCCAGCTGTTTTTATCCCATTGAATTACAGTGCATTTTGCCGAAGGCCACCTCAGTGCCCCGTGTCCTGACTTTGATTGAATTCAGCTTTACTTATTCAGTACCATCTGATCAACAAAAACACTTTTGAACTTTCAGTCAAAAATACATTTTTAGTTTTTGATTCTCTCCAGGGAATTTGATTATTAACTTTATATGAGCAAGGGGAGGTGTAAACACTGATGGGCATTTACTTATTTCACTACAGCTGATTGTCATTGCAGTCACCCAACTATTTTTGAAAGACATGATGGTGGTGGTCATCATTTTTTGGCACACACTGCAGGGAGTTGAGCATAATGTGACTACTCGGTCAATTCTTATTCATACTCCAGCCTCATACTGCCATTTACAGTAGTTAATCTATTTGTCTTGATGTCAGCAGATTGAGTGTAACAGCTCCACGTTTAGTGCCGTTGATTTCTTCAAGGGGCATGCAGTATTTAAAAAAATGTGGACATCTGTTGTTTTAAAGTAGTACAATTATTTAAATAAAAATGCATTTAATTTTTGTGTTAAGACTTTACTGCTTTGTTGTCATTGCACTGCTTCTCAGAGATCAGATGTCAATCAAAGAACGTTTTCAGGTGATAAAGTTCAGGCTGATGCTCTTTGTCTATTCAGCTATCTGATGCTAACCATGCTGGGAATGTGTAATTCAGCAGTCCTATTTTTCCAGATGGTTCCAACTGTTACTGAGTTATCATTTGTGAATATTGAAGCAATTAGATTTGTTCACCTGGAAAGCACTTTATAACAAGAATAAGAGTCTGTACTCATGCTAGCACCAGCTCTGTGAAGCTGTATTTACACAGAGCAGTGGTTTACAGCTAAAATCTAATCTTAGCATGCTAACATGCTCACAATGACACTACTAATGTGCTGATGTTAAGCAGTTATAATTTTTACTGTGTTCAAGATCTTAGTTTAACATGTTAACACGTTAACATTTGCTACTGTAATTAGCACTAAACACAAAGTACAGCTCACGTCTTATTTGTTTGCAAATATTTTGGTTTCCAAAGCATTGGACCAAGTTGAACTTGTGACCTTCTAGTGGCACTAGATAAAAAGTCTGAGGATTACCTAAGTCATTAGGATTCATAATCTGGTCCCCTTGGATGTCTGTACCAAATTAGATGGCAGTCCATCCAACAGCTGTCAAAATATTTCACCCAAAAACAGAAATATCAACCCCTTGGAGGTGCCAGAGAAAATGTCTGAGATCACCAGTGTCAGAAGGCTTCATTCTCTCCATCAGTGTCTCAAAATAGCATCGCAATTCATGCAACAGTTCTTCTATCCAGACTAAAAGGAAGGGCCGAACCAACAGCTCCCACTAGCATAACTACACATAATGCATAAAATTATATACGTGTTATTTTTAAAGTGAAGCAATATGCATCAAAGTGTAGACAGTTGAGCCATTTTACCTGTATAACATGCTAACGTTTAACTACGTTCAACAATGCCAGAAAGCAATAGAAAATAGGGGATGCTGAAAGGAAGTTATTGTACAATATAGAATAATGTCATAATACAGTAAATGCTGGCCCAGCATTAAGGGGTTCACATTTGGTCATTTAAATCACTGCAGTACCACTATTATTACCATACTCCAGAGCTATTTACCAATATTTTACACAACAGTACAACAGAGAGCAAATTAAACACTAACCTTAGTATTTTCACAGCAGCAAACAGTGATAATTGTGAGAAAAAGGCTCATTATCAGGCTGTTGTGGTTCTTAAAAGACAGGACAGAGAATATATTCATACTGTACAAACCTTCAAGCTTTCAACAAAACTCTTACAATATCACATCTGAGCCCTATATTATAATAAACGATGCTACCACATCTAAATGAAATATATGGTAAAAATGGCCTGTTTCTGATTACTGCATAGTCACAGTAATTAATGGCTTTCCACTCTTGTTAATTACAGTGGCTGCTGTATTCGGCTGCACTGAGCTCAGCTCTGTGTTATTAGGGATCTGGATGACAGGTGGCCAGATGAAACACTCACTTGTGGAAACTGACACCTGTCCTGATTGATTACTTTGATTCAGAGACACTTCAAAACTCTGAAAGTCATGTGATGACTAATACACATTATGTTCGCCTTCTGTTGTTACACTTTAGAACAACTTGGAAACTAAGCCATGACAGCCATGAGACCAAGGCACAAAAACAGTAAAGCACTACCCAAAACCAGAATCTTCACCTTTCTGTAACACAATAAAAATGTTTCTGTCCAAATGAATAATGAATGCTTGGATGCAGTGGTCAGAGTGTTTTCTGGACGAAACCTTTTCTCTTCCTTGTGTGTTAACTTGTTTCTCTACACGTCTAAACTTAACATTTTGTTTGTGTTTTGTAGGTTCCTCGGCGTGCCTCCCGGCAGAGGCAATTGCCCCCTCACTGGCCCGCTGCCCTTTGACCTCATTTACACGGACTACCACGGCCTGCAACAGATGAAGCAGCACATGGGGCTCTCACTCAAGAAACACAAGTTAGTGAATGGGTATTGTGTTTAAGTGTCTGTGTGTGTGGCTGTGAGTTCAAGTATCATCATATAATTTTCTTCCTGTGTGTGTATTCTGCTTTACCTGCATATATTTAAAATTTTGGTGTGTATGTTTGTACGTCAGGTGCATGCCTACATCTTTTCCAGGCAGGGAGGTGGCTGTGTTCATGGGTTTATTATTGCTGGTAATAAGGTGTGCGTGCCTCTGTCCAGATGTCTGACTGTAACTCATTCAGCTTCCCACACGCTTCTGTCACATAAACCCACTCATGCACACTCACACACATATGCCACTTTCTCCCTCTACCAGTCCCCTCCATCTACTTAGACCTTAAAATGCACAACATGTAGATCGCATCTGAGTTCTTATGTCATGACCTAATGTAACAAATATACAATACATGGCACACATGTACAAACATATAAACACAAAGTGGCTCTGCCACACCTGTCATGTGCCATTACTCTGCATAACAAGAAAAAGATATATATCACACCAATTTCCACTCAAACCCTGTCTCAGCAGCATATGCTTACTCATGCTCAGTCACACTCAGAGGCTCACTGTCAACGGGGGGAGGCGGTTAGAGAAAAGAAGACGTGGAAACCAGGGGACATCTTGAGAAAGAAGAAAGATTAGTGATTGGCTCAGAGGTCTTTCTTGTGCTGTTACAAAAGTGTGCTTAAAAGCCTTTGTTAGACTTGAGAAGGACTTGGAAACTAAGCCATGACAGCCACAAGACCAGATACCCAAAACAAGACTTTTAAGTGCCACAGTACTTTAGATCAAAATCAGCTGCACAACCCTGCAGAGCGCAGCGACATGAGCTCATGTTTTCTTCGGAGGCCTTTCATGTTGTTGCCTCAGAAACTAGAGGTGGGAGGTAACAAAGTACAAATACTTAGTTACTGTACTTAAGTAGATTTTTCAGGTATCTGTACTCTACTTTTTACTTTTACTCCCTAGATTTTAACTAAAATATCTATACTGTCTACTCCTTACATTTTCAAATCAGGCTCATAACATTTTATACATTTGAGGAAATTTATCGATTATTTTTATTTAGTTCTTACTGCAAAATGTGCACACCGCTGCACTGAGATCTCGCACATGCACAGTTAAATCTTGCTTTACTTCAGACCAGAGATGTGTGCTTCAGATGCGGAAAGAATTATGGTCCTTTGAAGATTTTGGGGCAACATACTGTATACACTGGTCTTGTGTTTCATAATGAAGAAACATGTCACCCAGTGCAGTGATGTGCTTCACTGTGTTTTTAATCGTTTTTGAACAACGACAGAGACTGACAGACATTAACTGTGAGTGGAGGCAGTTCATTGTTGGTTTTAGTCTCTGTATGGGGATTGTTAAAAAGACTGTATCCTTTAAGGCTTAATTAGACTTGGAATGTGTTCTCATTAATTAATGTTAATTATTTTTGGTATATTTTTTATTTTAAGTTAAAATATTTAAGAATCTTAGAAATATATTATGATGTAAGGCTGAGTTAGGTTTGGACAGAAACAGCTTTAGAGATGTCCTTCAAAGGGCTAATGTCACTTTTTACTTTTATACTTTGAATCAGTACTTCTACTTTTACCAGAGTATTTTTTACACAGGTATCTGTACTTCAACTTGAGTAACAAATATGTGTCAGAAACAAATAAGAGCGAAAGTCCAGCTTGAGTCTTGTCCTCTCCAGCTCCTTAAAAAAGCCTGCAGCTACCCCCCTCTGTCCCACATTCCCAGTCTAATAAATAGGAGTCTTTGTCCACTCCCCTGTATGTAATAGCAGCAACCGACATTTTGCTCTTCTTGTTCTTACTTCCCCATGTAAAGAGGCAGCAGTGAAGGATAAAAGTGAGTAGGAGGCCAAATAAAAGTGAGACGGAGAGAAACAAACCGAAGGTGTGTGGAGACATGGCAGATGAAAAGAGAACAGAGAAAGAGAGATACCAAAACAGGAGAAGCTGAAGGTATCAGGAGCCCACACCACATATAAAAGGTTTCTCCATGTATTTTTAAAATCCAATTATGATCAAGAGAAATGCATTAGGGGTAGGGAGCTTTTTTCCCCAGCACACAACCTGTTTTGCTGTCTCTTGCTTTCTCACAAGTTGTCGCGTGCACACACGCATTCACACACACACACACACACCCCAAACCACACATTTCCCCCAGCCGAGATGCCAGTCAGCGAGCAGTCTGCACCTAATTGCTTGCTGGGGTCAGCAGTTCCCAGCTCCATCATTACAGTGTGGAGTCATGATTTCTGCTCTCCCTAACAGGATGTGACTTGTACTGTTTGTAAGAGATGCTCTTTTGTTCGCCCAGAAGCTTGTGGTGAGGCAATTATCTAAATGTTTCAGCAATACAGATAAAACAAGGAACATCTGTCCTCACTTTGACAAGAGGATGCGCTTCAGTGGTTCCAAATATGGAGGAATGCCCAGGACAGTCAGTTCTCTGTGGATTTGAGAGCTCTGGTGAAGATTACACACTACAAGCTCTAAAGCGTTCACTCAAATTTACAGTCAAGTGTATGATATGCAACATACACATCATCCGTTTGAACTGATCTACCATAAAACCGTGATCTTTCCCCTCTCCACTATTTCCCTACCAGGCATCAGTGCCTAAGCTTTTCATCTGTTTCTCTTAAACCAACAATCCCACAGTCTCCAAGAGGTTTTGGTCAGGTCACTACCTACCCTCTTTCTCTATCTCTCTCCCTCACTCGCTCTCTCTCTTGCAAGTTAGACCAGTCTAGTTGAGCACCATGCACTGAAAGGCATCATTAATCAAGCGCTCAGAGCTTCGGGGCCCTTCAGCTCCCTTTAATTACTTTCGTTTTATGTTTCCATCGACTCCACATTCATTTATTATGGCCATGACAACACAGTGCTGTCTGGTGTGATGTTGTGTTTGTGTGCACGCAAGGGTGTGTCAGTGCTTGCATGCTGCCATTAAAGATGCAGAAAGCCAATAGGAGACTGTCTTAAATCACACCCACTCATCTGATAAAAGGACTAGCATATTGATTTCCTCTGCATGCTAAATTTACTGCTCTGATAGATATGGACTGGAGAAGTTATCCAGGGGAAGGTCTGCAAAGCTCTTTACTAAGATACAGGATGAGCTAGAGAGCCTGTAGTGGAGAATGCTGACTCTATGGGGACACATCACTTTTAACAATTTAGCTTAGTTTTGGTTAGGAAAGGGGGAGAGAAAGAGAAACATTTCATGTAGCTGGTGCTTTGCTTTGTGTATGCTATAGGGTGTGATTAAGACTCTCTGCAACATTAATGTACCAGATTACTCATTACAAGTGGAGCTGTTTCAACAGTTGTTTCTTCTTATTTTAAAGAATGATTGGGGTTTTAGTTGGCTGGGGCTTGTGTTGCAAATTGTAAAAACAATATTGTGATTAGCTTGATCACAGTTTAAATCATTTGTTTCAGGGGGTTTCATTAGTCCAAGATGCAGGAAATTTCTCAGCATATTTCTCTACTGTAGTCTTTCAGTCGGAGCACAGCCTTCAGTTGCTCTGACATTATAATATCTTTACTCGATGGCGCATCCTTGGCTCTATTCCAGCTCTGCATTACAGAGTTTTCCCCAACTAACAACAGCCCTGCTGTCAGTTAAGACTGAAAGCAGAAAAACCCAGTGGCTCCAGTTCTATAAGATAACAGCAACATGCACAAGTAGTTCTACTTTACAAAGTCAGAATTGACTAATACATATAGTGCAGGATGGGGGTAGCCTATTGTACACATAACTACACTTTGAAAGACAGACAAAAGTAAAGACTGTAGCACAATTTACACAATTTGTCTTGTTTTTCATTTCTAGTATCAGCACATGGCTATTTAACCTGCTTTTGAACAACACTCTTTAACAGCACATCACCTTTATTTTAATAAGCTGCAGTTAAACACTATGTGCGCTGAGGTGAAACAAAAGTGTTAAAGGTAATTATCCACACAGATGTTATTTACATCCTGCAATAAATGTGAAGTCAGTGAGGAGGTGCTGTATGGACAGCAGCATATTATACAGCACAGTACAAATGCAATATTAAAAGTATCTCACTACTAATGCACACCAAATTGTAAAATACTTAAAATGTCAAGTGCTCTTTAAATCAAAACTCTAGTTTGTTAAATGATGCTCTTTATATTAATTCATATGAATAAAACACAAATACAATATTACTTAATACTGCAGCTACAGTTGATACAGAAAGTGGAGACATGGGCGAGTTGAAGGCTACAAAATTTACCATCAACATCCATGTCATCAGGGCATTAGGGTGTCATGGAAGAAGACAACTGTTGTTTCCAGGGCTGCATCTGTTTTCTTCTTCGAGGCAGCTGAGCAAATGAGAAAAGAGACATAGCGACAGAAATGGAGAGAAAGAGACAGAACACAGGCTTCCAGGCTGACAGCAGTAAACTGGCACCATCAGCTGATCAGTCTGCAGCTCGGTACTTACACTGAGGTAGTAAAGATATGTCTTGATTCTGACTTTACCACCATGTTGAGTGTGGTGTACTGATGTTCTGCTGCCAGCTAACTAGCCAACAAATCCCTACCGCTGTATTTGAACAACCTCTGGACCTAAGGCACACACTGACATGGCAAAATGTCATTCAAACTGAGATTGATCCATTTTAATCAGGAAGTGAGCCAACTGAAAATGATTGAAGAGGATTTATATTTGGAGTGAAGGTATGCATTTTTGTGTGGATGTCAGAGTGCAAGTGTCACCAAACACAAAGAGATAACAACTCTGAAGAAAGAATTACTGCCAGAGGCCTGAACCAAGCATAGTGTTACTCCTGAGGTCACACTTGTACTTGCTGATTGGTATCTGCTATTCCATTGATACTTACAGTCACTGGCTCATTCATCAGCTGCTTGGCTACTGGCTGACTACTAACATTAAGTTATGCAGATGTACAGTGTGTAGGAATTACTGTATGACCTGACACTATTAGCCTGTAGGCTCACGTTCATGCCAACACTTGTGTAACTTCCTGAGTTTATAGTTTTATGGTGTATAGTTGTACTTACTTTTAAGGTGCTCACTGGGCCAGTTCAAGTATAATAATAAAAACAACTTAAGGTTTAAAGAGTCTACTGATCTCCAGCGAAATTCAGGTTCTTCTAAGTCCCCAAAGTTAAAGCTGAAGACTGTAGTGACAGCGCACCATGCTGCCACATTCCCCTCATGCTGGAGGAGTGTTGAGCTTTACTGAGCATCTGTTTAACCCAGATTATCTCCGTACTCGTGATCTCCAGATAGATATTCAGCTCAGCTACTCCCTCTCTTATCCCTTCTTCTTCCACTTTTTCTTTTTTCCCCTCCCTTCGGGACCTCTTGTCTGTGGGCAGAAACATTTTCACCGTTTCAAAGCTGGAGATATGTGATAGTGCAGCTTGGAGAAAGACACACTGGGAAGAAACGTTTGTTATTAATAATTCATTGTCAGCTTTCTTTGACCCTGACAAACAGACACACACATTTTCTACAAAATCCCATTCTCAGTGCCTCAAAACAAGGCTGAAAAGATAAGTGCATGTATTTTGAATCCATCTTGCAGATAAGTCTGTTTTTACAACCTTTCTGAGATATGTCACTGTCAAATTACTGGTTGGCCTCTCGGCTGCTGCAGACATATCATGAGAAATGTCAAAACTGGATCAGGGTGTCACCTTTGTCTCTAATATTACCACAATGCCCTTATAGGATTTTTAAAAGTATTTTCTGTGTTAGCAGGCACCCAAACTGAGTGAACTGAACCACAGGTCCTTGCAGTGTTTTAACACAGGGGGCTGTGTTGGTGGTGGGGGGGTTGCAGGGGAGTGCCCTGTAGGCATATACAACGAGTCTCGGGACATTCCTTTGTGTTTTGATTACCCATGCTGCTAACATACTCTACTGTATGTTAGCACCAATTTTTACCACTGTTTAACATTCACTGACCAACAAAAATGCTTGGCATGTCATTATGGTGCATTTTCAACTGTGGGCAAAATTTTTGAGTGAATATCAGTGAATGCCAATGGTAACATGGTAAACGAGTCCCATGGACGTCCACATTCTGAACGTCCCATGTTACGTCAACGCAGCAGCGCCTTGCCGGATGATGTCACTGTGTAATACATAAAAAGCTGAACCAGATTCTACTTTCTAAACAGTCCTGAAAATATATATAATATGAAAAGAAACACCGAAGGCCTCTGTCACACATGGCAGATGCCTGCATTCAAGGCTAAATGATATTCCAGGAAGTCAAATGGGACTCTTAACCTTTGAAGGTTAGATAGCCAGAAATCTTGATGACTTACAGTGGCTTTATTGTTAGCAATCAGACTTCTCTTTTTGCACACTTTATTGTGTTGGTTTCATTTTAATACACTCAATAACCTACAATGATGGAGCTTTTCAATTTTTTTGCAAATGTACTGAGTATCAAACACTTATATCTTATTTACTAAAGCATTCAGACCCCTTAATTCACTACTTTGTAGAAGCTCGTTTACAGTGATTACAGTTTCAAGTCTTCTTGGCTAAGTCTCCACAAGCATTGCACACCTGGATTTGGGCAGTTTATCCTCCTGACAAATCCTCTCAAGTTATCTTAGACTGGGAACCGCCATCTTCAAATCTCTCCACAGATGTTTTATGGTGTTTAAGTCTTGTTTAAATCTTGTCTAAGACTTGTGCCGAAACCACTCCAGTGTTGTTTTAGCCATATGCTTCGGTACGTTTGTACTGAAAAGTGAAGTGCCGCCCCAGCCACGGGTCGAACATGACAGGTTTTCTTCAAGGATATCTCTGTATTTGGCTGCATTCATCCTTCCCTGTTCTGACCAGCCTTTGTTGTCCCGGCAGCTGAGAAGCACCCCCATGATAATGACATGTTTATCAAAGAGATTCCTGTTCATTTTATTTAAACGCCGATTCGAATATAACAACTTTATGATCCCTCACTGCAGTTTATGAATAATAATTCTGAAACATTTAGGAAAGCTCAAACTGAAATCCGTGAAGAAGGCATGCTACGTTTAGGGAAAGTGGCTCCAGTGATATGCAATGAAAATTGGTATACAGTAGATGCAATAACCTTGAAGCGTTCTTCAGACATTGTGAATGTTACTGGACTATCTCGGGCTTTCTCTTTTTCACACACAGACAGAATGTTCCCTGTGCCCTTGTCTGTACCATTGAGTGTGTTCAATCAGGCCGGTCTGTGAGCTCAGGGGGATTAACAAGAGCTAAAGGTGACAGAGTCCACTTCACCGCTCTGAGACTCTTTCCTGGCAGATAACTGTGTGTGTGTGTGTGTGTGTGTCTGTGTGTGTGTAAGAGAGGGTCTGCTGCCTGTGTGTCTGTAAGATTATATTCCCTGATGCACAGTCTCAGTTGTTCTTCAGTGCTGTACTACTAAGCATTTACCTGGAAATACTATAAGGGGAGTCGAGCCCGTTATCCCTCTCATACCATGGCCACCTGCCAGCAACATGCCACCGGAAAATTTTTCTCTGATTACTGTCAATCTTAACAACAGAGAATCATAATGGGCTCAGCTATATGTTATAAAAGCTGTCCATCGTGTCGGGATAGCTCCCCCTACACCCTCTTCTGGCACAGACTCCTCACCATCTCTCTGACCCCTTCACTCTTACTTGTGACTTCTCTTAATTTTCTTTGTGGTTTCGGTCACATTTCTTCTCTGGTCTTTTCTCCTTTCCTGTGCAGCTGTCTATCAGCCTCAGGCTACCAGCTTCACCATGGCTGTGTTATTGGGGTGCACTGTTTAAGTCCTCTTTCCTCTTTCTACTGTTTAACTTCCACATTCATTTAAAATTCCAGTCGTGTGTTTCTCGTTGAGAAGCTCTTAATCCTTTTTTTCAGTTCTTCTTGGTGGCAACTCCAGTCTCTTTAGCTGACACTCAGTTGCTTTTGTCTTACAATTTAATACTGATTTAGAACTGCAAACACACTGTACATCACAGGTACCATTAAACCATGCACTTACTGAAAGTTTATCCACACCTACCAACCAGTCAGAATCCAGTGGCCATGGCGTAATTTGTTGTAAACCATTTTTAAGTGTTTATACATACATTACATATATAATGCTAAACGGGCTGTACAATTGTGTTGTGGTTAACAGGTACTGTAACGTTCCGAGTTTGAACGCCGCCCAGGGCCCTTCTGTGTGGAGTTTGCATGTTCTCCCTCTGATGGATGGTAAACAGGGATGAAGACAAGGTGTTCCTGATATTTTTGTACATATATAGTCAATAGGAACATTTTATTTTAAAGTGGTTGTGCTGTGTCTTTACAGATGTCATATCCGAGTGATCGACACCTTTGGGACAGAACCAGCTTACAATCATGAGGAGTACGCGACCTTGCACGGCTACCGGACCAATTGGGGCTATTGGAACCTCAATGCCAGGCAGTACATGACCATGTTCCGTAAGAAAAAAGTCACTTTTCTTGAGTTTAACTCTAGGTCATTTTTGACAAATCATAATTTAATGCATTGCTATCTTGTTGTCATACATATACAATATATAGTATACCATTTTTTTTTAAATTCTCATTTCATTCACATGTGTAAATCATTTCAGGTATAGGTTGTGCCAATATTTTGTAGCATATCCTCCCATCTTCAAACTTGTAAGATACTCCATCAGTTCAAGCATTTGTATTTTAACTTCCAAACATGAAAAGTAAAAGTCTGACCTGTCATGCGCACACCAAGATCTGTCATCAGTTTTGACAGTCGGTCTAACTATGATAAAATGACTCCAGTTTTATTTTTGTATTTTCTTTGACAGGTGTGGCTGCTTGTCCACATTAATTTGGAGGAATGTGTTCGATGCAGCTATTTTCAGCAACACCACACCTTCTAATGCCCCTTTAACTTATCTCGTTTACTTTTCCTTTTCTGTTTCCTGCTACCCAGTATGTCTGACCCATGTGTTCGATGCAGCTATTTTCAGCAACACCACACCTTCTAATGCCCCTTTAACTTATCTCGTTTACTTTTCCTTTTCTGTTTCCTGCTACCCAGTATGTCTGACCCGCCATATTCGGGCTATCATTGTTGCGGGCTGTGTCCTCACTGCTTCCGACTCAAACCCTGACTACCTAACTCTGTTTTGCTTTTCGCCTATAGCTGGCATTCATCTGTGGGACATTTATAACATCAATATGTAACCTGTGGCTATACATACCCACGTTTCTTATCCTAAGCTGTAATGACTGTCTCAACCTTTACTGACAGTCACTATTTATAATACTTTGGGATGTTGCTGTTAAACTGAAGCAAAGATATGGTGCTCTTTTCTGTCTTTTTCTGTCTCTGACTCACAATGAAACTTTCTTTTCCCTCTCTCTTCTTCTCTCTGTGTATTGTTTTTTCTGTTTTTACTACTGCTTTGTCTTTCCTTACTGCTCACACACATAAACACACACATTCAGCACACACACCAGACAACTCATTCATGGGCTTTGTTTCGGAGGAACTGAATGATACAGAGAAGAGAAACATCCAGCAAAACAAAGTCAACAACATGGCTGTCGTGTACGGAAAAGAGGCCAGCATGTGGAAGGTAGAGACCGCACACAAACTGACAGTTACTTGTTGCTGATACAGATCCTAGATCTGTACAGAGCATTGCATTTGGCATGGGGTTTGCCAAAGTGTTACTGTAAATCTTTTGTGTTCTGCTACTTTTGTGTTTTTCCATAAGCAAACGAAATGAATTTCCTGGACGACATCAAAGTATAAACAGCAAATATGCAAACACATAGGTTTACTGTATGTAGGCAACCATGGAAAAATGCACAGTAAACCTACTATATATTTATGCACATACTGTATGCATAAAAAAACTATGCCCAAGTAATGCACGGATGTGCATGTTTTACACCAGCATGCATGCGTAAAACAAACATCTCAGTAGATGGCAAGGTTTCTCTGTTGAAACAGGTTATCAGTTGAATTCTTCATGCAGCAGTTTCTGTTAACACCGATACATACAGACACACACACACTCACAACACCCCCAACCATAAACTGCAGTGTTAACAGAAAAATCCAATGACATTTTGCACACCCCACTGCTTGCACCATTACAGCTTCATGTGGCTCTATAGACACAGTGGTACTGCTTTAGTTTTCCTCTGAAAAGCATCTTGCTTATTACTTTACATACATTACTGTATATTACAAGAACACAGTTGTGTCTCCATTTTTTAAATGATTATAAAGATGTTTGCTTGTGAAAGAGACAAACATAAAAGGGAGACGGGAGGTTATACAAGTACAAAGGCCTGGTGAAAAGGCAGAAAATGTAATATGTAATTTTTATCTTCTCTCTTTTTTGTTTCTTCTACTATTATATTGCTTTCTACATACATTTTATATGATTGTTTCTTGTTTCTTCCATTCTTTTTTGGTGGACCATTGTATCTGGATGAATGCTCATTAGCTTCAGGTAAGAGCCCATTATTTTCACCTCTTAACCCTCTTATGTTTAAAAAGCACAAGTTACTCTGAGCTACTGACATACAAAGGAATACAGACAAATAATAATACTGACACACAAACAAGCATTTATACAGAGCATGGCCACCGGAACTAGGGGCCACTGCAACCCCCTTTCTCTTGTAACATCTATAACACTTATGCTAAGCAGCTTAAAATGACCAAGACATGTCACAGAAATCTGATCTAACATTTTTCTTTATCACATACATATACTGTTTAATACTACAATATGACAGCAATACAAGAAAAAATGCATTTTCTTTATGTAACATTACATGGATCGTTAACTGGAGAAGAGGCTGAGTACCTAGCACATGCAATGCCCTACAAACAGTTTTTTAAATCTACATTACAATACATGAAATGAGGTGAGGGATAAAGCCCGGCACAATGGAACGTACTTGTCACCATTCTTAATCTAACGCATGTTGAGAGATTTAGCTTAGACACACACCTGTAGGTGCAGGTTATGGAGTCTTCACTCCTCCACACCTGTGTTTCTCCTTCTGTTAATTCATGCCATCTGCCGTGTTTAACACTTGAGCTAATCTCCTAATTGGCTGGGAAAACCCTCACAGAGGAAGCTATTGATCGCTACAGTCTCCATTTCCAGCTCCGGGGGCCACATTACAGCACAGGAGACAAGTAAGCTGTTTAATATGAATTGACCAGCCTGTACGCTGGCCCAGGGTTGCACGCCATTCACAATGAAAGCGTGCCCCTCAGGCTCTTTTACACATAAATTATAGTGCTAATATTCTATTCTTTTCCAGTCCACATGAAGAAGTGTGCTTAAGCAAGGCACTGAACTCCGAACACTGATGTTGCACTCGGTGGCTGTCCACTGGTCTGTGTGCGCCTGGGAGTGCAAATGTGTGAATAAGCAAAATAGGGTGAAAGCACTTTCAGTGTGCTTCAACACATAGAAAAGCATTATACAAGTCAATACAATAAAAATAATCATGATGTGCAGGAGGTGAGAGAGTGGACTGGATTGCACAGTTAGTTTTCCATGTGAAGGAGGTGGAAGAGGTTTTCTATTGCACTACAGCGTGCACAAAAGATGTGTTGACTTGCGAAAGTTGTTTTGTAAGATCATCAAGACCGTCGTCTTAATGTTGAGAGGTGCCCACATACTGATACCAAAAGCTAACAGCTATGCATTCAGCCAGCACAAAGGTCAGAGTCAAAACAAAGTCTGAACAAAATACTTGGACCCAAATTCTTTATTCAGTCTTCTCTGTGGAATTTCCTTTCTGACACATGCACCCTCTTCTCTTCACTCCCCACTCTCAGTCTTACCAACCCAACATTTCCTTTTTTTTGCCAGCAGGGTAAAGAGGGTTTCCTGCAGATTCTCCATAGGTACATGGAGGTCCATGGCACAGTGTACTATGAGACCCAGAGACCTCCTGAAGTCCCGGCTTTTGTGAAGAACCATGGTCTGCTGCCCCAGCATGAGCTGCAGCAACTACTGCGCAAAGCCAAGGCAAGAGACACGCACATGCTTCCCTTACTGGGGTCATTCTAAGAGCACTCATGAACTGTCTTTTCTACAAGCTTTCACTGCTTCTCCTCAAATTTATCCAGAGATTGATGGGGTCATACATAGAGAACACATTACAATAACTGATCTTAAAGCTTGTGAAGTTAACTACCATAACTAAGAAATAACAATGCCAGTTTTCCCCCTCTACTAGCTCTTCATCGGCTTTGGTTTCCCCTATGAAGGCCCAGCCCCTCTTGAAGCAGTGGCCAACGGCTGCATCTTCCTCCAACCCAAGTTCCGCCCACCCCACAGCTCACTCAATCATGAGTTTTTCAGAGGCAAGCCCACTTCTAGAGAGGTAAGCTCATTACATTAATTACTTCCTACCATCAATCACTGATGAGAATATGTTGGCCATGCTGTCATATAACTTGTTTCATCAGTAGATTAATTAGAAGAACTGACATTACGGTAGGCAGCACATGGAACTTGGCATTCCTAGCACAACAAAAGCAATGTTGCTATTAAATGAACAACACTGGAGAAATTCTACACTACATTCTTTTTGCCCTGTGCCATCCTATTAGCCCTGAGAACCATACTTTACAAATGCTATAGATGATATGCTCCAGTACAGTATACTCTGTATAAAATGGTTATGAATGGTATGCGCCTCATTCAGTCAAATGACCTTTATCAAGCACAGCATCCTGATTGAAATGAGAGGGTGAACACAAGCAAAAGGACTAAGCTGTCAACAATAATCCTTTAGAGACAGAGGTCTTACTGTGTGTCCTGCATATGTTTTCCGTAGGTGTCCTCCCAGCACCCGTATGCAGAGCAGTACATTGGCAGACCTCATGTTGTGACAGTGGACTACAACAACTCTCTGGAGTTTGATGCTGCCATCAGGGAAATTATGAGGACCAAGGTAACCCCCCACCCCCACTGTACACTAACTATCCAATGATAGAAAACAAGACAAATAGAATATTTAATGTAAGTACAGACGAGCATTTTATCGATACTGAGTGACTGTAGCGACCGTTGTCTCTGGCTAAAACGGGAAAGTATTCCATTTTTTAAAAATCCAATCAGACATTCATTTTTTATAGTCATTAATCAGTCATAAGGGTTATGATTGTTTTAATGTTAGGTCTGATGGCTCAGTGACCCATAGCTATATAATAAATGATAACATTTAATTATAACTTTACTCTATGGCCTGTGATAACAAATCACTCTTTTACTCAGTGAGGTTAAATTTATTGATTACCTTGTTCTGCTTGCTAGGCATTTTCTAGTTTTTTTTTTTCTTTGCCATCAAGATTCTGTGATGAAGTTTAAAATACTTGGCCTGCCATTGTCACTATGAGCTTGATAAAAGGTTTTTAAACTTCAGTAGTAAAGGAGCTTTGCCGCAGTGGAGTTTTCCAGAGCGACTTTACCAGTATAGAGGAAGCAGTGTGATTTTGCAGAGTGCTGAACTTTTCCCACACAGGAAATGTGGGCTGATAGAAAATTGAGAATGTTAGGAACTGCCAAGAGTGGGATGGAGGTTAATTAAGGAGTCAACCGGGGAGATTAAATCTTTCTGGAAAGCGTGAAAAGAGGGGAGAAATGGTAAAAGAACAGATGAGAGAGAAGAGCATACAGACAGAGAAACAAGGTTTTCAAGAGTCTGAGGTACATCTGCACAGTCACTGCTGGGTGATTTTCTAATATTTCCTGATTTTCTAATATGCTTGAAGCATTTAATATAATTCTTATATTCTTTTACATTCCTCTTTGTTAGGCCAGGCAGGAGCTGAGGAAAAGGTGAAATTAGAGCAAAACAGCTACAGGGCCTCTCCTCTCATGTGTAACTTTGGGATGAAGTCTCATAGTGTGCATAATGTCTAAGCCAGATGAGACCAGGTGTGTAGAAGACAATAAATTTGATCACACAGACACTTGAGGAGAGTGTTTGTAATGTTATTTAGTTCAGTCAGGTCAGAGAGGTGTCCTATAGGATAGGAGGAAACTGTAAATTAGGATTCCATATGATTTGTATCATCGAAGTCCAAGCTCAAGACAAGTCTCCAACCTCAAACTGCTTGTCTGGCCTGAATTCTTTGACCGCCTTCTCTCAAACTGAACCATAACCCTTGACATCACAGAAGTTTCCAGATCTTATCAAAACACAATACCAGTGTGCCAACAAGACGCATTCTTGAACCGACAACCTTCTGGTCAGTGACCTTTAGGCCCCCCAAACCTTAGCCATGTTGCTAAATGGATCGCGTTTTTGCACATGGCTTTAAACCCTTGCACTTTTCCTGCTGTACTTGGCTTTTTTGGCTTGGTTTCTGTTCTCCTCCCGTTTCAGAAAGTAACCAGCCAGGTGGCTGTCAGTGAGAGGAGGTTCTCCTGGGCTGTTAGGCTGGGAGCCCTTCAAAGCTGGCTCGATCAGTGGCTCTCCCTCAGCTCCCGCATGGCTGTTCTCTGTGTGCTTGATTGGTTGTTTTAGTTTTTGCACACAACACTCCTCACTCATTTATGCACCTGGCTTCACTTCAGATTATTTTTACTTTTGACTCAAATCACACGTTCACCCTCCTTCTGTTTGAACCTCGAGCCAGTTTGTGATGATGCCTAGAAAAAGCCCGGTCTCAGATGGTGTGTTTATACATGGGCGTTTCAGTTCCTTTGCTTTCAAATGTTCTTTCTGAACAGAAAGCCTATAGGGGGGGGGGGGCTTTTTCAACACACTGCCTGTCCAGTGGGTATTGGTGACGATATTTTTAGAACAGTGACTTCTTTACAGCTAAAGAAATACTGCTCATTCCATACGATATTGTTGACTTTGATATTATTTATTGCCATTTCAGCCATCTTGCTAATTCCATCTTGTAGTTCATAGCACAACTGAGCCACAGTAATGCTCCAACAAAGCATCAAATCCATGAAGGGATCTGGGGGAAGACAGGTGTCTGCATGATCCTTTAAGTGTTCTGTAATAGTTTGTGTCTTTATCAGATTAGAAGTAGTTTTCATGGAGATTAGATGAGGGGTGGTATCTGCACTGACGGCTGTGTGTTTGTGTGCATGCATACTCGTGCTCTCATCTCTTCATCTCGTCTGCGTTGTCAGATAAGCTACAGTTCAGCAGCACTGGCTGACTGCTCTGTCTCCGTCTGCACTGTCAGACCACTGAGAGAGAACTCATCAACCCTTTCACTCTTCAATGGAGCCACAATGCCCCAGCAAACACGCACGTTCTAACACAGTTAGGTGATATTCTTGTGCCTGCATGTATTTAAACCTAAAGCCAGACACAAACACAATCACGACTAAATTACAGTCAGGAATTACACAGATCAGGTTTATCAGTAGAGCCTTACCTGTAGATTATAGCAATTAACTGCAATGCACACACACATATACACGCTGAATGTGTGGCAGAGGCTCATGCTCAGTCATGCAGGACAAAGCAATCTAAGGCAGGCTGACAAGTTCTCATGTTCCAAAAATCCTGTTTCTATTTCTCTCTCTCTCTCTTTTCTCCTTTTCTCTTTCTTCCTTGGTTCCTTTCTTTATTCTGTTCCTCCTCTCTGCTTCTTTTCAGTCTCCGGCCCTCTGACATGTTTGCAGTAGAAGACCTTTGCAAAGTCTTTGGTTGTTGCCGTTTGGTAATTAATGGCTCTATTTCATGCTGTAGTTGGAAAAAAATCTTAATTTTCCTTAAAAGAAGGTGAAGGTTTGAAATTTTTTAATATAAGTAGAATTGTTTTGGTTTGTGTTTTGTGTATTTGACGTCAGTAAAAAATAATCTTTTCTATCGAAGGCCCCTCTTGTAAATGAGAATGTGCTCTAAGTCACCTTGTCTGGTTAAAGAAAAGCTTAACAAGAGAAATAGTAAAAACAAAAAAAACTTGTTACATAGTGTGTAGGGAGGGAGTTTGTTTGTGTCTCACCTGTCCGTGCATTCGGTTCTGCTCCAGTACACAAAGCAGATTAACATAAGGCTTTTAATCTGATTTGCATTGTGCAAAACATTTTAAATTGCATTGTCCCTGCGTTCTTGTTTCTCAGGGGTTTTCACTTGAAATGGGCCACGTCTGATTTCACACATGGCCGAACATTAGACTGCTTTGATCTCAGTTTGGAAATGCAATTTAGTGAGTCGTGTATCATGTACAAAGGCAGGTCTTTTGCATTAGGATGTAAAGATGGGTCACTCTGGTCTCACCCAAGTCTGGGCTCTGCTGTTAAAAGTGGAGAAAAGTCCTTCTGTTTGTCACACTTTTGTAACCACCCATTTTGAGTCAACATTTTTATAGAACAGCTGATTTAAAAAAAAAAAGTCTGAATATTGCAGTTTATTAATTCTGGCTTTGCAGTTGCAGTATTTCGCATTCATTAAACTTCTTGTCAGACAGTTTGTTAGTGCGTATTAAACATGTTGGTATTGGCGAGAAACACAAAGGAATATAGTGTTTCCAGTTCATCCCTAATTAGGCCGTTCAAAATTGTGCTTTAGTTATAAACCCGACACATCACAGCAGGCGATGATCTATTGGTATGCAAATAAAGCCTAATGAGTTTCCAAGCAATGGCATACTGTGATTATGCCTTACAGAAACTAAACAATAGCAACATTCATCTGCTGAAGTTGACAATGAGAATTAGTGTGAACAATGAAGTGATAGCAATAAAAGTTCACTTTAATTTGTGAAAAATATGGGAATAATAATGGGAACTGGGGTGGCATGGCGCTGCAGTGATTAGCTCTGTCACCTCACAGCAAGAGTGCTCCGGGTTCGAGCCTGAGCCGACCTGGTGCCTTTCTGTGCAGTTTGCATGTTCTCCCTGTGCCTGCGTGGGTTCTCGCCAGGTACTCCAGCTTCTACCCAAAGTCCAAAGACATGTAGCTTAGGTTGATTGGTGACTAAATTGCCCATAGGAGTGAGTGTGTGGTTGTGTCAGCCCTGTGATAGACTGGCGACCTGTCTGGGGTGTACCCCACCTCTTGCCCAATGTCAGCTGGGATTGGCTCCAGCCCCGTGACCCTATTTAGGAATAAGCGTCATAGATAATGGATGGATTGTTAACGATAAGCGTCATAGATAATGGATGGATGGTTAACAGGAACTGTGTTTGTGTGTGGTGTTTCCAGGTTGAGCCATATCTGCCTTATGAGTACACCTGTGAGGGAATGCTGGAGAGGGTGCACGTCTACATACAGCATCAGGTGAGGTGAAGTCCACGTCGGTACAAATGTACACCAAATGGTAAAGCAACACACACACACACGCGTACGCAAAGATTCTCTCTTCCAGTCCTAGTCCTCTTCTGCTCTCATATACATAGACTCCTTTCACCAACTCTCAACTTCCCCAGTCGACTCAATATTTTATCATTGTGTCTCTGTTGAGCATGCATGTAGACTTTGGGATTAAACTACACGCTGTCATTACAAACACATATCTGCCCGGCTGCTGTAAAGTAGAAAGCTTTCTGACACTAATGAGGAGGGATTAGTAAGGAGAACGTACAGTGTGAGGACAATACTAAAGCGAGATTTCTTTTTAATAATCCCACACTATGGGCTCTGTTTTCCTCCCAGCACACTTCCTGGGAAACTTCAAATGCAGTCTGAAATAATGATATGGTAACACCTTCTCTGACCACCTCTTATCGCTATCGCAAAGAACGGCGTAGGCTGAGAAGCACGAGATCAGGCATCAAAATGTATTTTAATGTCCATACTAACTTAAAATTAACCCTTAAATCTACAACTAATCTGCTGGAATTCACTCTTAATTATTTATTGTGAAATTATCTGAATTATGAAAAGTGTGTGATAATTTAGATGATTTTTAAAATTAAATAAATAAATTGGCCTTCGGTATGTGGTTATAGGTATGAATACGTCAAACAGTGGTGGCGCGTCACGATGCATCATCTTACAGGATGCAGAGTCGCAGTTGGTGTTTGGGAATCACAGCTCTGGCACCAAGTCCGCGTTAAAAAATTACACGTAGGTGCACAAAATAACACATGAAGGCAGCTCAGGAGTCAAGATGATTAACTAGCACCCTGCAGACATCTCGATTAATCCAGTTAGGCAAGATCTGATCTATTCCTTTTTCATTCCTCCCTTTAATAATGTATTCTACTCCTCTTCCTCAATGCGCCTGGTAACACCTGGCTGTGCATAAACATGCGCTATGCTGGTGGTCACCAAAATTGCAAAACATTGTTGAACACACCCAGATGCATCTTGCACATAGAATTTATAAATGAGCTTAGCACTGCGCCCTATTTCAGGAAGAGAGAGTCCTATATGTCAGACAAACTGCAGGAGGTTTCTCTGTAACCTTTGTCTGGTCCTCATTGGATGCTGGTTTTGACACAGAAACCAGAAAACTTGAGCTTCTCACAAGAGATAACAGGAACCAGAGCTTACAGTTGGTTGACCTTAATGCTTTCTTTAATCTTTATTTCATCTGCACTGAAGACAACTTACTGGTTAGCATATAAACATTAGTAAAACTGACACACCGGCTTAATAAATTAGTGCCTTTTTACATGTTGCCTTACACTGCCTATAATACACATTTGTAGGTTTTCTTCCATCACTAGTAACCACAATAACATACAAACTAATTCTATTCTGCCTCTTACCTCCAGGACTTCTGTGCCCCAGAGCCTCCCTTTGTTCCAGCGAACCTCTCCAGACAGGGGTCTTCTGGTGGTAACAGGATTACAGGACCTCTCTTTGTGCCCCTACCCAGTTCTATAGCCCTGGGTTGGGCATCCAATGTGACAGCTCCCCGTGCCTGGCCTCCTGTCACATCCCTCAGGCTGCTCATATCCCAGGAGGGCCAGTCATGTGTGGAGGCATGCCAGTCAGCTGGCTTCATCTGTGAGCCTGCTCACTTCCGCTTCATCAACAACAAGGAGGCCCTGCGTGGGTAAGTCAGCATGAACGAGTATACTGTCAAGGTGAGCCATGATCTCAGCAGGTATTTATTTTCTTTGCTGTGCCAGCTCCAGGCAGGTGAACCACAAACTTATAAACATTTTAGACTAGGGTCGCAGCGGTGCACTGGTTTCATGGTATACCATCAGTGTTTCCCCTACCATTATATTAGGACCATTATATTAAATTAACTGCAACCCCCCC